AAACATTTGATACAAGCATTGGAATCTTTCTATGCTTTCTTGGACTGCGATAATATTTTCCTTTAGTATCCCCTTAGATGTTTATTCCTGAGATTAACTCGTACTTTCTTGTAATGGTGGGTCTTTGGTGATTCTACCCACCCTTTTCAAAAAACTTTTGTTTTGGAGCTGGAGAGATGGCTTGGCCATTAAGAACACTGTTCTTGCAGAAGACCTGGGTTCAAGTACCAGCACCCACATGGCAGCTAACAACTGTCATAACTCCAGTCCCAGGGGATCCGACAGCCTCTTCTGACCTCTATGGGCATTGTATGACATGGACGCACTTACCTACATGCAAGCAATACACAGATACACATAAAAATGATAAAATATTCCCTAAAGTTTCTTTTAAATTATTTATTTACTTTTATTTTATGTATATGAGTGTTCATATGTATGTATGTATGCATGCATGAATGCATGTAGTTAAGTGCACCAGGTGGGTGCAAACCCACAAAAGACAGTCCAGCACTCAGGAGGCAGAGGCAGGTAGATCTCTGTAAGTTCAAGGCCAGCCTAGTCTACATAGTGAATTCCATCATATGCTGGTGAGGATGCCCAGTGAGTGACAGCCAGAAGAGGGCATCAGATCCCCGTGAACTGGAGTTAGGGATAATTGTCAGCCACCATGTGGGTGCTGGGACTGAACGCAGGTTCTCTGCAAGAGCAGCCAGTGATCTTAATTGCTGAGTCATCTCTTCAGCCCCTTAAGTTGTTTTATATTTCAGTTTCTACATATAAAGGTGAGATTATTCTTTTATTTTTACTTTTTGTTTTTAGACAGTCTCACTGTGTAGCCATGGTTGGTATGGAACTCATTATGTAGACCAGGCTGGTCTGGAACTCAGAGAGATCTGATTGTCTTTGCCTCCAAAGTGCTGTAATTCAAGGCACGTACCATGACCACCATGACTGGTCCCAATCCCTAAAGTTATATAGCTCCATTACTGGAATGACAAAATTATTAAAATAAAGCGGACTGTGGTTGCCAGGAGTTAGTAAGGATGTAGAGGTGAGAAGTGAAGACAGTGTGGGCCACTGAAGGGCAGCATGAAAGAGCCTTTAGTGACGGAAACTCTGCAGCCTAATGGTATCCAGGGCAACAGTCTCATCCTGATAGTTTTGCAAGATGTTACCACAGGAGAACTGGGCAAAAGGTAGAAGGGATCTTTTTGTATTATTTCTTTTTTAAGATGCATTTTTATTATATTTAAATGTGTGTGCGTGTGTGGGTATGTACATGTGAGTGGAGTGCCTGTGGAGTCAGAGGCATCAGATTCCCTGGAGCTGAAGTTATAGGCAGCTGTGAGTCATCTAATGTGGGTGCTGGGAACTGAACTTGGATCATCTGCAAAGCAGTACATGCTCTTAATTGCTAAACCATCTCTTCAGTCCCCTCTCTGTGTTATTTCTTATATGTGCGTGTGTATCTATAATTATGTCAAAACAAAGCATTTAATAAAAATTAGCACTTCTCATGTAGGACTGTGAAAATTCTCTGTAGTTCTCCTTACTTGTCAGAATGTGGAGAAGTCAGGAGGTAAGCAGAAGAATCTAGATTTGTGAACTATAAAACCAAAAGCAATGTGGACATACATAACTCAGCACTGAAGTCAAGGGAACACATTAAACGATTCTAGGTGACCAAAATGGATTTTTTGGTTCCCAATTTAAAACACAGAATTATTGTTTATAATAAAGAACAATGCTTGCTAAGTCTGACTAGCAAATTGCAGTGCTTGATACAGGCCACATGAACCTGCCACAGTCATTTTATGGCCAGTCGTCTTTCTTCAACCACATGTGACTTACGAGTATTCAAAATACACCCAGTCTGAATTGAACTGCAATATTAAGCATAAAATATGTACCCAATTTTAGGAATTGGTTTTTTAAAAAGAATGTAAAATAGCTCATCAATTAATTTTTATATTGATTCCATGCTGATCATATATATTGGATCAAATTAAAGTCTTTTAAAAATCAGTGGGGCTGGAGAGATGGCTCAGTGGTTAAGAGCACTGACTGTTCTTGCAGAGGACCTGGGTTTGATTCCCAGCACCCACATGGCAGCTACGAACCGTCCTTAACTTCAGTTCCAGTGGAATCCAACACCCTCTTCTGACCTCTGCGGCATTGCATGACACGGGTGTACTCACATACATGCAGGCAATATACTCATATACATAAAAAAATAAAATATTTTTTAAAAATTAGCTTCATCTACCTTTTTTTACTTTCTAAAAATGTTCCCACAGAGCCAACATGGTGGTGGCTTAGTGGTCCCAGAACACAGAAGGTCACGTAGGAAGATGTATGACTCACTACAGAGGTGGAAACAAGACTCAAAATTAATTTCAAACAAGCTGCCAGAAGTCAATGAGGTTTTTTGTTTTTTATTCTTTTTGCTGGCTGCAAAACTGGGACTCATAACTTCATGAACAGACTCAAAATGTACTTACTTCTCAGCTCTTAGAACAAAGGAATGAGCTTGAAGCTGGGTTTCCTCAGACCCTAGGCTTGCTGGAAAGCACTAAATGGGTAGAAATTGAATGCTCTAGGAAACTGCCAAATTTATTTACTAAGATGGAACTTTGCTTTAAAGCCTGGACTAATTTACAAGGCGGCTGGAAGGAGTCTCCAAGTTCAGGGAAATGAAATGTCACTTTTACAAACTGGAAAAAGAAAAGCTGGAGCAGATTTTTGTTTATGACATATTTCCATACTCTCTTTTTGCTTTTCCCAACTCAATTTAAGCCAGATGTGAAAAGGTGTCAGTGAGGGAGGCACATGTTTCAAAAGTTCTGGCTTGCTTGGCATGATATACTAAAGGCTAAAGGAAAAATTCTTTCCAGTGCGGTATTAAAGCATCACTCCAAAGTAACTGGGCAATGCTTTGTGACCAGTGTGCCTGCTCATCACCTTCACTGTGTCCTCCCTTCAACCTGCTCTGGACATTACATGACAGGCTTGAAAAGACACAGGAAAGAAGTCATGGCTAATGCAATGAGCAACTCGTCTCTTCGGTGGCAGGAGGGCTGTACTCATCACCCCACATCCTCCTGCAGTGCTCCTCAACAGTTGAGCCCTTGTCCTCTGTCTATCACAGGCTTCTCCACAAACTGTTCCTAGGTATGGTGCCATGAAGCTGGCTGCATTCTTCCTAAGAACAACATTCTGAATGATGTTGTGGATAAACCACATGCAAGTTTAGCAAGCACAAACACTTTACAAATATTAGTGTTGAATAAGTATTACATTGCATTTTGCTGCCCCTCCCTGCTACATTACTGCTATTGTTAGGATTAGCTTTAGCAACTACTGCTGTCAGTACTAGCAGTGAAGATGCAATACTCCACAAGACAACGTAGCCTTTCAAGACATAAGAAAAACTGAGCTGGACACAGTAGTACATGCCTTTAATCCTAGCACCCAGGAGGTAGAGGCAGGTGGATCTCTGAGTTTGAGGCCAGCCTGGTCTACATATCGAGTTCCAGGACAGCCAGGGCTACATATTAAGAGCCTGTCTCAAAGAACAAACAACAACAAAACCCTGAAAACAAAAACAAAAAGTGAAAACTAGTGTAAAGCTTTCTGAGATGGTCATAAATGTACTTTGAAAGAGAATTAATGTTCTAAAATATCCTTATCTAGCAAACAAAACTACAATGCTATCAACACAAAGTTTAACCTAATACTAACATGTTAGCAGTAGTAAATATTAAGTTCTTAATGAAAAAGTTTCTTGCTACCTTAAAAACTAGGAGGTAGGAACTTGCTCATATGAACTTTCAGCAATGGTGACAGCATGCACAAGACCCATGCACACTCAAACCAGACAGAAACCCAGCACAGAAGTGGGGAAATGGGTAAGAAGCCCCAACCTCAGCTGAGGAACTACTGGCAGCTGATCACTGCTGGGAGAGGGAGGATTGGCCTTAAGGGAGTGATGCTAGATAGGCTGACCAGGCTCCAGTGTATGAACTCACACTGGGGGACATCTGAGGACACAAACTTGATAGGTCTTAACGTATATGACAGAATGTATGAAGTCTGGCAGGGGACTGGGGGGTGCTAAGGGGTGTGCAGATAAGGGAGGATGTCTAATTATGATTAAGATGTATTTTGTGAAAAGTACAAAAATTCAATACAAAAACCAAAAAAAAAAATTAGGGGGGCTTCTGGCTATATCTCTTTCTGTGCAAAGCTTTCCAATGAGTCTGTGATGATACCTGCTTTCCTCTGTTGATGCATACTACTTTTGATTATACTGCTTATTTATAACTATATTTATAGTGTTCGCAAATAACAGTCTCAATATATAACTTATAGAGGAAAATTCAGAAAAAAAAAATCATACCTCTCACCAAATACAGGTCCCATTTCACCATGTTGCTCCAGCTACAGGAAACTAGCTCCCTTCATTCAGCAGCAGCCTATTCTGTTTTCACATGTCTGTAATAGACTCCTCCTTCCTTCTCTGAGTTATGGGCTGTTTCCTACATTTTTATACTTATCTGTCCAGAAACCCGAAGGACAAGACAAGTAAGTCCCTCTTCCTATACAGTTCCTACACATCCTCTGTGAGTTCTGATGCATCAGGTTCTCTAGGGAGCAGGAGTCTGAGGAAGCTGAAGCCATCCTCACACTGCATGCTGAGGTATCAAAGCATCCGAGGAGCTGTTTAACCTTCTACAAAGAAAATGCAATTTTTCATACAGGGCCTCACTCTGCTTATAGGAAAGAATCTCACTATTCATATCGAGGGAATCTCTCACGGTAAGGCCTGAGCAGTACAGTGGCCTACAGGGAACTCAAGGAAGTCATCTTGCTTACATGTTCATACAGTTTCTTCTTAAAGGCTTCCCTCTGTAATGCCCGGTCACACATGATCTGCAGAACGCGTTCTGCCAAACCCACAGTTCTCATACAGTGGTGGATTCTGCCAGGTCCCAGGCGGCCCTGGGAAATTTCAAACCCCCTGCCTTCACCTGTGAAAAAGCAGAGGACATAAAAATGGCCCGGCCTGTTCCTTTTATTTTCATAATCCTAGAAAAAGGTGAGGTGCCCTCAATAAAGCATCCTTCAGTTTTATGATAAGGTTCATTGTGATTTTATGGGAATTTGGATTCCTATGTTTATAAAGCCTCCATCATTATACATTTCAATCAATATAAGAACTGTCTTTTAAGTAATGTGCCTACTTTATTAGTGCTACAGTGGCTACAGAGGTGGATGAGACACTGTCCCTCCTTAGGAACCCAGAGTCCAGAGAAGAGCACAGAATAAGGGTAACAGAGAGGGACAGGGAAGACAAAGTAGGGAGACTGTTCACCATTGTAATCCTACAGCCTGGCAAGTGCCAGGGGCCTACTGTATGGGGGGATAAGAAACAAAAACACCCCTGAAAAAGGCTGTATTCCATACATTCTTTAAAGTTTGGGGATATGGAGTTGTGCTGGGCACAGAGTGAATAAATCCATTCATTCTACCTTCAATTCAAAGTCAAAGAAAGGACTGAGATTCTTTTTTTAAATATTTTATTTTTATTTTTATTTTATGTGTATGGGTGTTTTGCCTGCATGTATGTAAGTGTACCATATGCACTGAGGCCAGAAGAGGGTGTCGGGTCTCCTGGAACTGGAGTTATGAACTGCTGTTAGCCACCATGTGGGTGCTGGGAATCAAACCCAGGTCCTTTGGAAGAAAAACAGCAAGTGTCCTTAACTGCTGAGCCATCTCTCCAGCCCCGACTGAGATTTTCTTAAAGAAAACAGAGAGCCTTGCCCCGCTAGTCATGCCTTTGGAAAAAGCTTGTTGCTCTGAGTTGGATAATTTTTGTATTTAGCTATATTTTTAATCGATGTAAAATACAAAACTGCATCTAACATTTAAATAAAACTTTATCATTCCAGATAAGAAAATCCACAAAGTGAACATTTTTCTTGAAAAGTCAAGTAAGAGGGGAGAGTATCTAAATGAAGGTAACTGCGTATCTCTCCCAGATTTAATCTAGGACTATGAACACACAATACTATCTCACCTAGTATTAGGTTGGCAGCAGGAACTCGCACTTGATTAAAATGGACCTCCCAATGTCCACCGTGCATGTTATCTAAAAAACAGAAAATAAAAATTTAAAGAGAAAAATGAGTTGACCAAAGAAGTCACAGACAGTGCATCTATTAAGTAGAATCACAAAGAGGTGGGGACAGTGGACATTGCCAGGGTGAGTCGGCCTTCAACCCACAGCACTCAGTGTTGCAGAAGTTGTAGAGCTACGAAAAAGGAACACGCAGCTCCCTAGTATACATACACACGTATGATTCCGAGGGAAATTGCTTGGGAAAAAAGATTCAGCATCTAAGAAACTGAAACAGGTGCTGGGTAGATGGCTCAACTGGTTAAGTGCTTACCAGGCAGGCACGAGGACCCAAGTTTGGACCCCTGGTACCACATAAAAACCAGACATGGTCAACCTTAGCAGTGGGGGGAGGGGGAGACAGGCAAACCTGCAGTTCACTGCTCATCTAGTCTTGCCCATCAGTGAGTTCTGGGGTGAGAGACCCTGCCTCAAAAATATGGTGGGCGGTGGTAGTGGAACATGCTTGACATCAACCTCTGACCTCCACATGCACAAACACACAAGTGCACGCACACCCACATGCACACATGTACATATATACACAATACACACCAAACTAAAGATAATGAAAACATGAATGTGAGTAATGTTTCCAGAATTTTTAATTTTATCATTGTGGAAATTGATGCCTGAGGATGCAAAGGACCTGCTTGAGGGAAAAGTAGGCCCAGCATTAGTGACGAGCTGAGACAAGACCTTCATTCCGGTCTGTCACTCTCAGTCTGTGCTTGTTCACTGCATGTTGCCTCTTGAAAATGCTTTCACTTGAGTCACAGGGACTGGGACTGCATCCCACTTCTGTCTGAATCACACCCCTCCTCTTTGCCAAAGTTTAGAGATAATCTCATGCAAACTCCACACCCTATTCCTGTCATGGCAGAATTAACACTCAACCTTCCCCTGGCCTCAGTTAAGACAACCTTCTCTTGGCCATGGACACAAAGTTGGAGAGATGTTGGTGAGTTTGCCATAGTGAAAATTAGGAAGTATGCTCTGTGATATACCTGCATTCAGTCTGTATTTTAAAATCATCATGGCATGTTTCAGGCTGTTGCTATGCAAGCCAACAACTTTGTATACAGTTTCCTCCTGTGAGCTTGTTTGTCCCATGTTGACCCCTATACTTAATCTGTAGTACATCCTGCAGCAGCTTGTCCTAAGAGGGTGATGATGCCAAACATTCTGTAAAGCTACAAGTCTTACATCACTGGTTCAAACACATTCATCAGTCATAGTCAACGACACCTGAAGTTCAATTGACTTGATCACAGCATTTATCACCTGCTAATAAGCTACTTGACACGCTTGTCATCTTTGCATCTTTCTTTTCACCAGCATGGAAACTCTCTTGGGACAAGTCTACTGTGTGCACTAAAGTGCTGGCCACTCGCTGAGTGGGTGATCTCAGTGGCTTGAACACTGGGTGTGTGTCCAGGATCGGGGCAGAAAGCAAGAATAGCCTTGCTTCTTAGCAATTCTGCCCAAAGTCAGAAAAAAGGAAATGTTTTGTACTCAAATAAATCTAAACTTGGCTCATTGCTTACTGACAGCTCTCATTGATTAAGAGAGCCGAGTGTGGAAATGAAAAAGTGAGTTTTCCGGGCCGGAGAGATGGCTCAGCGGTTAAGAGCACTGACTGCTCTTGCAGAGGACCAGGGTTCGATTCTCAGCATCACATGGCAGCTACGAACCATCCTTAACTCCAGTTCCAGGGCAATCTGAAGCCCTCTTCTGACCTCCGGGGCATTGCACAACGCGGGTGCACTCACATACATGAAGGCAATACACTTGTACACATAAAATAAAAATAATGAATAAAATATTTTTAAAAAGGAAAAAGTGAGTTTTCTGTGGATTACTCAATTTGATTTATCCATCTGTTTCATTTACCTCCTCAAGCAGGCCCTTTGCATCCTTAGGCACCACCATCCACAATGACAAAATGAGAAACTCCAGCAGCCTTGATCACTGACAGTGTTTTGATGCTTAATCTTTTTTTTTTTCCACAGGTGAAGCTTTCTTTGGAATCATGTATGTATTAATATATATATACATATATATATATATAAATTAAAAGAGAAAAACACTCATGAGTGGTAGACGTGGGCCCTTTCCCCAACAGTGAACACACAAGGCAGAATGCTGCTCAGCCTCTTTATCTGCTCTATCGGTACCTCCACTAGCATATTAAGAGTGCTGACAGGACCAAAGGGATTTCTAAGGATACATCTTATGCATTAAAATGCTACCTATTTCCTTCAGTGCTTTTGCAAGCCCCATCTTCCTGTGCGCTAATGCATGGGCTTGTTTACTGAGTACTCACCCAGGTAGCCAAACACAGACAAAGGCCTTATTAATTTTACTCCAGGTGTGTCCATCGGAACAAGAATCATGCTGTGCTGTTTGTGTCTGGAAAAAAGAAAAACGGTGTTAGGGAAACTGTGCTAATTGCTAACAGGACTGTGACTTGTACAATGAGATCACATAAGCAAGGCTGATTAGATGAAAAGCGCATGAAGGGACACATACTCAGCCCCATCTGATGCAGGCTGTGATCTGGAATAGAAACAACGATTTGAGATGAGTGGAAACTGTTTGAAGCTCCTCAGTGCTCAGCAATGGTAAATAGGGGCTGATACCCAAAACTAAACATTAAAGGCTGTTATCCTTGATCCATACATCCAATCACTTCCACATTTCAGTCAATTCTGAAAATTTATATTCTGTTTCTTCTGCAGTACAGGGATTGAACCCAGAGCCTCGCACATGATAGGAAACTCTCTACCACTGAGCCTTGAATGCTTTTATTTCTAATCAGCTGGTCCCTGATCCAAATAGCTCTGAAGACTTATGAACACTTTATTTTTAACACTTTTTTCTTAAGACCAGGTCTTTCTACCTAGCACAGGCTAGCCTGGCACTCACTGCATAGAGCAGGCTGGGTTTGATGCCAGTCTTCCTGCTTCAACCAGCACCTGAGTACTGAGATGATAGGCCTGTACTACCGAGCACAGCAGCTACTCTTTCTAAAGCTAGAAATTCCACATTAAGGAGTATACAGCCACATTCCCTAAACATTTTTCAGATAGATCTTTTAGCAAAATGCTTCCATGGACCACGGACTTCTGAGTGAGAATCATTACCTGGACACAGAAGCACCTTCAGTTCTTCCCAAAACAATTGCGATTTTGCACTTGGGACTCCCAGCTCCTAAACCAGGACATGAGCAGAACAGAGTATAAGAAGCCATTTCTTCTTTCTTTTCTGTTCTTTTTGAGACAAGTTCTCCCTGTAGCCACAGCTGGCCTGGAACTTGCTATGTAGACCAAGCTGGCCTCAATTTCACAGAGATCCACCTAGCTCTGCCTCCTGACTGCTGGGATTAAAGGTGTGTGCCACCAAACCTGGCAAAAAGACATTTCAGATATTTCTTATATGACATTTCACCCCGGAGCTTCTAATCCTTCCCAGTTTATTTCTAGCAAAAAGGAAAGTTCTTTGATACATTAAAACAATAATGATTTGTACAATGCCGTATATCATTCAAGAGAAATGATCCAGCAAGGATAAGATTAGACTTCATCAATAGAAGCTGTTGTGTTAAAATAACCAGAAGTAAAAGAAACATAAAATAGCTATAACCCTTAAGACAAACTGACTGTTCTCCTATTCACAGCACTTACACATTAGCATGGTGGAAAGGCTGTGGAATTTTATATGTCTAATATAATGTATCTACTATAATATACATATATGTCATTTGCAATATAAATTTTTTAGAATTTCATACCTGAGTATTATATTTCTACCATTTCTACCCCTCTTTTCTCCCCTCCAATCCCTTCCATGTACCTTTCTACTCCCTCTTAAATTCATGATCTCTTCTTTAATTATTGTGTTGTGTTGTGTTGTTTTTTATTTTGTTTTGTTTTGTGTGTGTGTAACTTACTGAGTCCATTTAGTATTGTTCATATGTACACATACTTAATGCTGACCATTGGGATTGAATAATCGATCAGGAGTCTCTTCCCTGGGAAAAATGGATTCTCCCTCTCTCAGCAGACATTGATTGCCTATAGCTAATCTAGGGGTGGCACCTTGTAAAATTTCCCCCATTCATGTTGGCATGTAAATTTTATATGTCCGATATAATATTTCATATGTCCACATAAATGAGGGTCTGATCCCATCTTCAGTGGGTGAGATTCTTATTGATTTATTAAGAATGAAAATTGGACAATATAAAGTTATTCTAATTTGAATGTGAAATCTTACTTTATCACATTAGGGTTCATGAGAATTTTTTCTTAGGACTTTGAAAAAAGTATACTGTAGGGCCAGAAAGATGAATCAGAGGGTGAAGGTGCTTGAAGCCAAGCCTGACACCATGAGTTCAACTGCCAGGGCCTAGGTGGTAGACAGAGAAAACTGACCTTGACCTCTATATGCACACTGTGGCACACAAATTTTCACACATACATGCATGCACATGCACACACATACACACATACAAACACACAAGCATGTAAAATAAATAAATAGACATCAAATTTTTGAAGCACACTTTGTAATACTAAGTACCGTGTTCACTGAAGAAACTATCACTTGATCAGCTTTCCAATTACATAGCCATAAACAGCAGGATCAGACTGTTAGATGTGTCTAAACCAAGTCTCAAACAAATTATCAGATTCTCTTTTCTAATTTCTTATAAAAAGTTCAATAGATTTGAAGTCATATAAATATTTAGTGAAAAATGTAAGAAATGATGTCAAATTGTCAAAAAACATCATGAAATTCCAAGAGCAGTGGAGGGATGGCTTATATATTAAAAGAGACTTAAAAGGCATACCAATCAACAGCAACTGGTAGACTTTACATGTATCCAGCTTCATTAAAAAGAAGTATTAGTGACAACTGTGAAACAATTAGATATTTGAATACTTACTGGATATGCAATGATACTTGGTAATTCAGGTGTGCTCATGATGTTGTGGTTCTATTTATAAAGGAGTTCTTACTGAGATACATATTAAAATATCTGCAAGGGAAATCATGTGATGTCTAGGATTTATTTCAAAATAAAGGAAGGAATGGGAGTAGAAAGACAGTAATATTGGCTGTGCATTGGAAATTACAAAGTCTCAAAACTATTCAAAAGGAATTCCTGGGGAACTTCAATGTGCAGCAGGGATTTGAAGAAGCAGGATGGTGCAATGGGATGCCTGGAAACAGCCACACAGGGGTGAACTTGACAAGTAAGTGAGGACAGTGCCCCCAGCAAACAGCTGCCTGACCTCTGCAGACTGGAGAGGGCAGAGTGGAGCAGCACTAAAAGAAAGGTGACCAGGCAGGAAGCAGAGTCCAAGGCTAAAACAGAAGGTTTAAAAGAAGCACCAAAGATATGAAGAAGCCCCCAAAGTAGAATGCTAACAACTGAAAATAAGAAGGCAAAGGCAGACACATAGCCAAGGGCTGGAGAGACGGCTCGGTGGTAAGGAGTATGTACAGACTGCTCTTGCTGCAGACCCAAGTTTGGTTCCCAGTACCCAGGTCAGGCAGCTCACAGCCACCTGTACCTCTAGCTTCGGGGAATCTAACGCCTTCTTCTGGCCTCCTCAGGCACCTGCACTCATGTGTACACCCCTCACACCCCCACATATACATAATTAAAAATAAAATAAATCTTTAAAAAAAGACATAGCCAGAATGTGAAGTGTAGCATCAGAATCAAAGGAGACCAAGAAATAAAAAACTGAAAAAATTAAAGGGGGAGAATCTATCAAAGAAACACGTACAAGACTTTCTAAAACTTAAAGTCCAAATCCAATGTATCTTCAGATTAAAAGAGCCAGTGACTGGCAATAAGAATCTACCAGATAGGCATTTATAACATTTCAAAATATCAATAATAAACTGGAAATCCTAAAAGGGTTCAGAGTAAAGCAAAGTTATATGAGGAATAAGGATTAGCCTGGGGTTGACTTTTCACCCACCGCAGGGACTCTCGATGAAAATGAATAGCTCAACCCAGAGGCAGAGTAACTGCACATGTTGACACGCAAGATTTCTGAACGTACCACTTATGCACTTCATTCTACAAGAGTTAAGAATATTCTCAAGTAAAATAACAGGAAAATCAAATAAAAGGAAACCCAAATATGAAGTGACACACAAATCCTGGGGTAATTACACTGGTATGTACCTAAAGAGCAATTGGTACAGATGGGGAAAGAAATGCTGACATCTCTGGGATGTTTCTCGAAAAGCAAGAAAGTCCTTAGAATTAAAGGCGCAATGTGAAGGTGCATTTAAAGGTGCATGCATAGAAGGAGGGGGAGATATATATATATCAACAAATGATGCAATTAGAAACTCAGAAAATATCTGGTGTGCACGTGGTAGCCAAATATGAAACAAACTACAATGTGGAATGAACTCAGTGTTAGAACAGCTACTCTAGTTGACCTTGGTGGCAGTAAAACTCTTTAGGACGGCCAGGCAACAAATATTGCATCCGTTATGGAAGCACACAGAATCTAGCACAATACTTAGACCAACATACAACAGTCCTTACTGCAGAGCAAGTGCTATGTGTTGGTTTTCAAAGGTCAAGGTCATCCTGTGGTCATTCATCACTGTGCCTAGAGGACAGAAGGTAAATACCAGTTGTCCTAACCATGAAGGGGTGGAAGCTGTGGCTGACACAGAGACAACATGGAGGGAACAGGTAAAAGGTGTGGAAGGGGTTGAAAGAACTCTGATCCTCACCTCCCAAAGCAGAGCTTGGGGAGATTCTGTTAAATGAGGATTCACAGACTTAAAGATCATTTAAAGATCAGAAAATTTAAAATGGAAATAATAAGCACATTAGGAAAGGTCAGAAAGTTGAACTACAAATAAGTCAAGTGCTGCTATTTGAATTGGAGGGTCCATGACAGCGTCTTAAATGAATAGAAGGACAGGAAGTGTGGGAAAAATAGGCTGCCTAGAATCAGTGGAAATCAGGAAACTGACTCCACTGTCCTCCAGTGTGATGCTGGCATGTGGCTGGGACAAGTGTGCTTAAATATATTCTCTTATTTGTTACCATTTTGAGTTGGAAAATAAGAACTTTATAAATATTAACAGGCTATGGGAGGATGCCATTTGGGATGTAGGTATAAGGATGAATAAGCTTGTTTGGGATGTTCTTTATGAAATAAACACACACACACAAATATTAACAAACCTAAGCTGGGCCCATGTAATCCCAGCAGTTGGGAGGCTGAGGTGGAAGGATTGCAAGTTCCAGGTCACCCTGGTCTACACAGTGAGACTGTGTTTCAACAATCGTCCCCCTGAAAATTGGTGTGCCATCTTATGAAGGGGATTAGGTGAACAACATGGTTTTCTTTCCATTTTTGTCTCGTAATTTCCTTTTAATCTGAACATAAAATTTGCAGGCTGGAGAGAAGTCATTTCCTGCACACAGAGGCAGTTCCCCTCTTGTGTGATAAGACATAATTTCAGAAATCCTACATGTACTCTGCCTAATGTTTTCTTAAAAATTAAGATAGGTTTCAACTGGGAAAGGCAAGGAAGGGAAGCAGGCTGCGTGCCTCAAGTGGGCCCCTCCCTCCATCCTCAGGCTGATGGTGCAGATACACCTAAGCTGACTTGGAACTTGAATCACAGCAGTGGTTTGTCCACAGGCATTAGAATTGCCTGAACATGCAATCATGGATACTGCGTGTGATTTTATCAATGACCAGAAAGGGAGAGCTCTTTTAACTGAAACAGGAAATTTAAACCATAAAATTGGCCAGATTTATACTATAATTAGGTAACAAACATGTTAAGCAATTATTTCTTTCCCATTTTTTTCCCAAATGCATGACTTACTGTCTACATTTTGTATGTGACAAATCACATACAAATATAGTATCATTTTTCCACCCTTCTAGATATTTGCAACATGATCTCATTACTAAATCCAACTGTTTCAAGTAAAGTGAAATAAAAACTATTATGTTAAAAAGGCCTGAATGCTTTTCATTAAACGAAAAATACAAGCTGGTCATGGTGGCACACGCCTTTAATCCCAGCACGTGGGAGGCAGAGGCAGGCGGATCTTAGTGAGATCAAGGCCAGCCTGGTCTACAGCGAGTACCAGGCCTCCTGGGGCTACAGGGAAACCCTATCTCAAAAATCAAACCAAACCAAAAAAG